TTAACATTTGTACATACAACCGAATGGCTTGGTTCAAATCATCAACATTTGTACATACAACCAAATGTAATTGGTTCAAATCATCAACATTTGTACATACAACCGAATGGATTGGTTCAAATCATCAACATTTGTACACATACAACTGAATGGATTGGTTCAAATCATCAACATGTGTACATACAACCGAATGGATTGGTTCAAATCATCAACATTTGTACACATACAACTGAATGGATTGGTTCAAATCATCAACATGTGTACATACAACCGAATGGATTGGTTCAAATCATCAACATTTGTACATACAACCAAATGTAATTGGTTCAAATTATCAACATTTGTACATACAACCAAATGTAATTGGTTCAAATCATCAACATTTGTACATACAACCGAATGGCTTGGTTCAAATCATCAACATTTGTACATATAACTGAATGTAATTGGTTCAAATCATCAACATTTGTACATATAATCGAATGTAATTGGTTCAAATCATCCACATTGCAGCTACTCCACATTGATACAGAATATTTTTAAAATTGGATCACATAAACTATGAGAAAAGTGTGATATGTCAGTTGTCGACTTGTTACACGCACCCAGATATGTCGCGCAAAACATTTTATTCCTGTAATGTTTGCGGCAGTTGCCTGTAATCTAACGTCATTGGTTCAATTTGTCTATATTCATACATACAACCAAATGTCACAAGTTTAAATCATCTATATTGGTATTTACACATGATTAACATATTCACATAAGATTACTGTGTGTAGAAATACTGATTAAAGAAACAAACCTGTGATGCTTTCATGTGGCATAGCAGAGGCAATGCCACTGCACTGTAAATGTGAGGATGGTGGTGACTGCAATGGCAGTTCTGGCGGTGTAGCAACTGGATTAGGTAAAAGTACAGGATCTACAGTGTCCACACATGGAAAATTTGGAGAACTTTGTACTCTTGGTATGGAAGTATTAACATTTAACCAGGCAGATTTACTAGCATGTGGTTGATCTGGTGTCCGACTTCGCACTTGAATTTTCTTGACATGATTTGGTACTTCTACTAGTGTTTCCTTATTCTTATAGATTGTACTGAATGTATTGCCGTGTAGAACTTGGTAGTCTTCAACTGCAGAACAATGTTTACATCTGTGAAACAATATTTGTATTACTAAGTAGAAAAAAACAATATCTGAATAAATTGATGTGACCAATTCTCTTGGCGCAACAAAGGCACAACAAATCTGTTCAGTTCTAACTATTTTGTTCATCATTCCAGCAGTGAAGTTCTCTGTAAACAAGGTAACGGGGGAGCACTGTCACCTTGCAATTTTTGATTACTCCCTTATAATAATAGTAATTTAATTTTTTTTTTTATTATTATTAGAATAGAATAGAATTCTTTATTAATACCGTAAAGATAATGTGATATTTCTTTTTTGGTTGACAAGTTAATAAAGTTTTTACATAGTTGAGCGGACATAAAACTATCCGTAAATAGTAAGACAATTTACAATATGTAAGAATATGGCATATATTGTTTATTTATGTCGGTAATGTATTTCTTATGTTGTAACACTGTTCGATGTACTTTATGGTTTCTTTGATTAGTGAAGTGTTCTTATTATTCATTATTTGTATGAATTTAGTATTGTTTGTCATATCTTGGAATCCATATATACAGGATTTGGCTGTTGCATATAGAATGTCTCTGTTGTTTGCATATAAAGTGCATTCTGTTGTGAAATGTTGTTCATCTTCAATTTTGAAACAGTTTTGACAAATTCTGCTTTGTAGTTGTATTTTAGGTTTTTGATGGCGACCAGTTTCAATTTTCAGTTTGTGGCCACTCATTCTAAATCTTGCAAGTGTCCCTATTTCTTTTCTGTCATTGAATTTTTGAAAATAGGTTTCCTGTTGAATGATATTTTTGAATAATTTAAAAGTCCTTAGTTTTGAATCAGTACTGTTCATGTTAGACATCCACGTATTTGTAAAGTTCGTTGTATGTTTTTTTCAAATCATGTAGTTCTTTTCATTCTTGATTTCCAATTGCAACTCTCAGTTACGATGTAAACAAAATTGGGAAAGTGCTAGTAGCACAATTACAATTGCCCTTAGCTTAGGCAGAGCCAATTCACATAGTTCATACCCAACATAGACTCCGGTCAGTCAAAATGCGATTCAGCCAATGATGGACAGAGATATCTCGGTCAGGGGAAGCCCCATGATCTCATAAATTGTCTTCCATGTCACATAACACGTGACCAAGGCAAAGAAGTCAGCAACCATCTTGCCTCATGCTACTCCCTTGGTTTTCTCTGTATATGAGGAATAAAGTCAATCGCTATGGAAAATGGGGTGGTTGGGGGGACCCGGAGTCTATGGTGGGTATGAACTATGTAAATTTGCGGGTTGAAAAACCCTCTGCCTAAATTCACTATGTTCAGTTACCCACCATAAACGCCAGTCAGTCAAAATGACCATTTTGAACTGTAGGCAGTGTCTGACGCTGAGAAATTGTGGGTTCCAAGCTAAAACAGAAGCAAAGGAGTACTCAAATTAAAGGGTGCCCCATTCTGGGACAAAATTTCACCTATGATTACTACCTAGTTAAGACCAGTGAAAAAACGATGTCTTATCTTGCCCAAGGATGCTAGACCCAAACCCAAAGTCTGGGGATAACTACAATGTAGCTTCCCAAAAGAAAAGAAAATTAAAGCCAAAAACAGTTCTGCATTAGGTGCATAGACCGAAAGTGAGACCTGGAAAAAAACGTCCAAGGTTTCTTCCTCGCTTTTGTTGTTGTGATGCTTCTCTGCACAAATCTGTCACCGAGACTGTCCTATCGCCTATGCGCAAGGATCCCTGTGGTCGTCCGGGCTGGGTCAGTAATCTAAATCAGACTTGCTACGACAGGACCTAACCTAAAAAGAACCTCCTCAATGGATTGCGCGTCTCTAAGGTTATAGTTTTGCGTTCTCCAGAAGCCTGCCCTCAGTACGTTTTCGAGAGGGCACCTGACGCAAGAGCTAATGAGTTAGCAATCACACAAACCTCATGCACTCATACTTGGTGTCTCTGTAGACCCTGTGTAGAGGTCTGACAATGTTGTCCAGACGGGGATGATGATCAGCTGTGGATCGTACCCTGGGATTTGGTTCTTGGCGAGAAACCAGATTCATGTCTTTAGCACAACTTCATTGTCCATAAAGATGGCACAGCCATCCACGACGCCTGCCAGGGGCGAGAGCTAGAAAGAAGACTGTTTTCCATGTCAAACCTTTCAGTAGTGCTAATTCCAGTGGTTCAAAGGGCAGTCTGCTCAGAGCGGACAACACAACCGACATGACCCAATTGAGCAGTTCCTTAGTTTGGGGTCTAGGCCTCTGATAATGAAAAGCAGTGAAAAGTCTCCTAATAACAGGTCAATCGACTAGTCTTGTCCCCAAAGAGTTCTCAATGGCAATTGCTGCATAGGACAATCCTAACTCGTCAAACAAATGGACGCAAAATCAGCTACCTGGCCAACAGTCAACTGAGCAGTGGGGTGGCAACGACCACCCGAGGAAGAGGAGGATCCACCACCTGTTGCCTTCTTCCTGGTGGCGTGCTGCCACTCTTCCCTCCCCCGGAAGATTAGGGGCGCTTGCCTCCTGACTGCTTCTTGCTAGCAAGTGTCGACTTAGGTCGCATTTTCACAGCTTAGGGTCTACTCCGCTTGCCCTTGGCCAACACCAAGAATGTTCACTGAGAATGTTCTAGAACCGTACTGTGTCTGGGGTGGAATATTCTAGATTTTTTTAGAAACTGGTTGAATAGGTAATAGAACACTGTCGGAGGCAATAGAAGGTAATGGAACTAGGAATTTGTAGTAAGTTCCAGACTCATTATGTATGCTGATGTTATGGTCTATTTATAGACAGTGGGGGTATATATAGGGGAGTTGTTCTGCACTGAGTTCAGATCGGAGATCTCGTTGAATTGTATTGGAGTTTAAGTATCTAGTTATTGGAGTAGTGGAGTTTTACCACGTTATTGTACTTGATATTTGCAGAGTATAATAATACCAGTACCAGTTGAAACCTCATCTGTTGGCTCCGTGTTTGCATGTTATCATTGCCGCCAGGGAAGTCTTTATGTTACTGTTGCCATTTTGGTATTTGAACCATCACACCTGTACTATACCAATTACAGTAATATTACGTTGCGTGTGACATCTGGTATTTGAACCATCACACCTGTACTATACCAATTACGGTAATATTACGTTGCATGTGACATCTGGTATTTGAACCATCACACCTGTACTATACCAATTACGGTAATATTACGTTGCATGTGACAATTGTTTCAGACTGAGCTGCTGAAAAATTCCATGGAACGCAGCCATCCACCCTTGCCCGTTCCATCAAACAAGAATTCATGGTACTGGGGTCGGAGAAGGAACCAAGGGAGGTCTCACACCAGTCTCTGCTGGCTTCGGTGCCCGACACCACACCGATCGGGTAGCGCTTGGTCTAGAGAAAAGAGTTAAGCACAAAATTGACTTACCTAAGTCTATGGTGGGTAACTGAACGTAGTGAATAGAGAAGGTCTGTACCTGCATAGAATGCTACACATACCATACAATATACATCATGTACACCACAGCTATCAAATGTATTTCTTTATTATTGTGATAACAAAATCCTGGGGAGAGCGCTGATTACAACAAGTTGTTATTATCATTTTCACTGCTACAAAATGTTAAGATTTTCACAAAATTCTTGAAAATTTGTTACATTATTATAAAAAGTAGTTACAGTATGATGACATGGTACATACCGAGTTCTACATGGACTTGTGTCTCTCCTTGCTACTAAATCCCATCTTGGTAGAAATTCTATGGTATAGTCATTATCACTATAAAGAAAAACACATTATTAAAATTACTACTTATTTTGACTGTACAGCACATAACTGGGTACTATAAATATTGAGACTGTTTTTCTCGTGTTCTGTGCACTCTTGTATTAAAAATAATATGTTCATTTTTAATTAAATTTTTTTTTTCAATACAACACAGTAAGTTTTTCTTTATTATTGAGTTGATGTGTATGCCTTTGGCAAAGCTAACATCTGCCTTATCCTTTTGCCTTTTCAAAATCAAAGGTGATGATACCTGTGACAGTAATACAGTACGAAATGCGTACATCAACATGTGCCTCCTACAAATAAAGACTTGTTGTTGTTTTTTTGATACACTGTGGTTCAATTGGTAATAACAACTCTGTAGTCCTGTGGTTTTAGCAGCAATTTTTTTTTTTGGCAGGATTTTTTTTTTTTCGCCCTCTCGCATTAGTTTTGGGGTCTTCAGAGGATGTCATCCATAAAATTAAATCAGTGTGGTCTAAGCAGTTCTAGCCATGCTAACTGCTTATTCCATAAAGAGTAAGCAGTTCTAGCCATGCTAACTGCTTATTCCATAAAGAGTAAGCAGTTCTAGCCATGCTAACTGCTTATTCCATAAAGAGTAAGCAGTTTTAGCCATGCTAACTGCTTATTCCATAAAGAGTAAGCAGTTTTAGCCATGCTAACTGCTTATTCCATAAAGAGTAAGCAGTTTTAGCCATGCTAACTGCTTATTCCATAAAGAGTAAGCAGTTTTAGCCATGCTAACTGCTTATTCCATAAAGAGTAAGCAGTTTTAGCCATGCTAACTGCTTATTCCATAAAGAGTAAGCAGTTTTAGCCATGCTAACTGCTTATTCCATAAAGAGTAAGCAGTTTTAGCCATGCTAACTGCTTATTCCATAAAAAGTAAGAACGGTAGTTCTTGGCATGTAGATCGAGTCTTGGTCATTCTCTATTGTTATCATTACTCTCATACATCAATCTACTCTAGCTTAAAAATCAGTATAACCCAATTTGTTTCACAAATCTTGTTTTTAAAAAAACAATAAAAAATGCTTTACTTCATGGCAGTTATATTTTTTTATATAATCCCTTTAAGAACAAGTTCCTGGGTTGACACAAAATGTCCACGACTCATCTGTTCTGCCATGCCCTCTATAGTTGTCACCATGTTTTTGACGTAATAAATATGCTAATGAGTAGCATGACTTATAAGCTGGTAACCAATAAGAATGGCAGCTTTTAATCTGACCTGTTCTACGCAACTATAATGCATGTGTTTCCTGACATGTAGAATTCATTGCGCAAGTGCACGTCTACTTTCCTGTTTTGAAAGTGTTCCACTCCAGGTTCCAAAACTACACATCATGAATAATTAATAGCAGTGAATACTGCTATTCAGACCAATCCTGTCGTGGTAATTTTGTATATGGCCAAGATTTAGGAAAGAACTGCCACAGCATATTTGGCAATTTTTCTTATAGTACAGTACAGTAGCACACACTAAAATTTTGTTTGCTGTTACAATGAAAGTCTATTCCAACACAAAATAGAATAGTGTTTCAGCCAAAAACTATTTACGTTAATTTTTTGAACTCAAAAGCTTAAAAAGTTTTATTTTATAACCAATTTTTCAGGTGGATAACAGGTTTCTCAATGTGGTTGACCTGCTGGGACAACCATTTTTTTTAACTTTGATCTCTAATACAAGAGCCTGAAACAGTAGGAGCAAACTTACCCAAGATTGACAAGCGACTTTGCAGCGACTGTATATTTATTTTTAATTAGCACCGGCCATTTCTGTTTTTTAATACAGTCACTATAAAATCCAGAGAGAGCTGTGAAACAAAATTGCTGGAATTGCCCATCATAATATAAACTACAGGCATCTAAGGCTTGCATATCACCTGAAAATAATACAACACAATATTTGTATTATATGGCATATGTTGACACACCACATGAATTGAAGCAAACTTGCTCAACAGGAAAGACCAAAAGACCAGAAAAAATGTTACACTCTCGGAGCCCAGTAACAGTAAAGCTAAAAAGCCATATTCTATGTGATAGTTTCGCAATTCACTTAATTACCTGCAATATGGGGGAATCGTACTGATATTAGTTATGTCTACAAGCATCAAAAGCTATCTTTCACCATATTAGCATATACATAAATAAGAATTCATCTAATTACCTGTATATGGGGAATCATACAATCTATCAGCTGTATTTAATTGCAAGCAATGTTGGCTGTATGTGCGCTTTCTTTTACCATGCTGGCACGTACAGTCCACATGGTTTGCAGTTCAGAGATAGAGGCTGCCAGACATGAGAAAAGAACAAAAAAATTTTACACTGAAACAATGTATATAGGACAGAATAAGGTATTGATCTCCTAGTTATTTGCAAAATTCAAGACTGATAAAAAGTAGCGAGGCAGGACATACATGTTAGATTGAACATATGAACATATGCACTTTTATGCACTTGGCACCAATGTCAACCCTATTACTGAGAAGTAGCTAGCTGAAAAATTATGTATTATTTAGGTCATTTGATCAAATCCAGTTAAAGTCAAACACACTCTCAAACATAAGATGGAGAAGCTGACCAATTGTTGGTTGGATAGTATCTTTCATGCTATCTTATTGTAAAGGCTTGGGCAGTCAACACTCCTTAATGGTCAGTTCATTCTCTTGTCCTATTCAAATGGTAACCAGGCATTGTATATAACACCACTACACAAGCAGTCTGCCCACTATAGTGATTCACAATGTAAAATAAATCTGCATTGTTCTTTTGAAGTACAAGAATTAAATCATGTTGAGGAGACTCAATTTTGAACATAGTTGCATGCTGTACCAAAACAATAAATTTATGTCTGGCATATCAGGCATTACTATATTTCATTCACCGCCACTCCATCAGTTACAGAATACCATAATTTTGCAGTTTTTCACCGTTATCCACATACTACCTTATTAGGAAATTCAAACTACAAATCAAATTCTACAAAAATGATATTTCTAAGATGGTGGACATGTTCAAATGTGAGAGTTCAAAGTGAGAAAGCACCCCTAATTTTTATCATCCTGCTCAGGGCTATACAAACCATTTAATTAGATCATGAAGATTGATGTATAAATAATAAGGTCAAGATCAGATAGAACGCGGTCACATCAACAAACGATACACGTCAAACAAAATAATCATTACAATATTAGATTTGTCAAAAGTTCAAATACCTTTTGTTTTAACTATCTATAATTATATGCACGCTATCTGACCCTTTGACCTAGATTTGGCTGGGATTGACTATTTTATTTTAAACAATATTCTGACGTGACGCACTGCTACAAAATGTATTTCAACAGAAGTACGACATAGTTGTCTGGGTTTCTTTTCCTGAATGTGTTGAGTTTACAATTTGTATAATTTGTATAATAATGTTATTTCCCCCAAGGAGAAAACAAGCCGAAATATTTCTAAGGCTAAAATAAAACTTAATATCTCTTTGTGTATTTGTCAATTTTGCATATATTTGGTATGACAGTATGTTCGTAAATATCTGGAAAAATCTTGTTTTTCGTTAATAATTTCATTAGTTTGAAATGTCTACCGACCATGTCCCAATAATTTGTTTGGAATATCGATCTCTCGCAAAGTCCCGTTGATAATACGGACAAATATGGTTCTGTGACCTAGGTCGTGCTCTGATCAGGTGACTCTCAGCCAATCAATGATGTTGTAACAAAGCATATTTGACGCTAATTTAAGGGTCATTGTACCATCCAATCTCCAGCGTTGATTCACATAGTTTTTTTGTGCTGTGACATGCTTCACAATTATTCACTGAAAAACATCGGTATATTTTGACAAACGGCTGGGATTTGACCTCAGTTCAAAAAAAGAGATACAAATCAGTTTTGCAAGTTGGGAAATAAGGTAAACCAGATTGGGGTCGATGATATTCAGTATCGAAGGACTTTCGTGTGTATCATGAGTTTCAAATTGTTCATCGACTGGTCACCAAATATTTACGGCTACAACTAAATGGACACGTTTTTTTTCTGAAGCCCAATAAATTATTTCTGCATGTCAAGTACTATTCGATTTTTTACAGGGCAAGTGGCTCGTTTTTATTCAAAAATATTTTTTGTGAGAATACTTTTAAAGTACATATAGATCGAGCTCAGGTCACTGATCGTGACTTAATTTAGAAAATTGGATGTAAAATTTTACGAGACCTACGCCACTACAACTATCCAATCATAGTTAGAAATGTACGCACTTGTTTTGGAACTTTGTATCAAGATGGCAGACGACAACGCCGACGCACCAGGCGGCGTGCATGTGTTTTGAATGTATTAGTAAGTCCAGGCATGGGATCGGACTCGGGTAAAACTAAACGAAACACAGTAAAATACCACCGAAATGAGGAATCTGAATCTGTTACCTCTTAATCTCTTACCAGCAAATAAAATGAACGAAAATAAGGTAATTTTATAACAAGAACAGTTTCATTTTGTATAGCAAATTGTGTTGTATCCGAACGATGATTGCATCGTGTGATTTCCTTGCAGTCAATATGACACAATACGTCACCTTGCAGATTGCAATGTACTTCACAAAGTTTTTGGTACCCAATACTTGCAACATTAAATAATTAAACAAAATATCTTTTTAAAATGTCATTTTACTCTTGGTCATGTTATTTTGTTCCCCTTACTGCCTTGAATTTCAAATCTATTACATATCTAACTTCTGTACACATGTTTTTCTCTACTGCCTTTCCGTGTGAAAATAATGAGGTCATACCGGTACTCATGTCACAATATTTTGAAGCTGATGCCATGTTGATGCCATGAGACTGCGAAGCTGAGGCCACGATGATGCCACAAAATAAGCGAGGTGAACACAGCTTCAATTTTCATGACGTGAAGCTGATGCCACAATGATGTGATGCTGAGGTGACAATGAAGCCATGCGTAGGCGACAATGATGCCACAAAAGCCAAAGCTTTCGCGAGAACTGTACTGTAAGCATCCTCTAATAATAAAAACAAACATGGCTGATGTTCGCTGATTCTGTTCTAAACTTTTTGTATTTCGG